ATATATATATATATAAAATATTGTTCCACCATTCAATTAATACTGAAAAATAAGACTGCATGGAAGTTTATGAAAATTTTTTTTTCCAAATAGTACTGGCACATATCCATTAGCAGTGATTTTGGCTGTATCTGCTAGGGTTTCCTCCCAGGAGGAGGAAAACACTTCTTTTGGAGCTGATTAATGTTCTACCCTGCAAACCAGCCATTGTTGAGCCAGAAGAGCTTTTTCCTCCTTGCAATCAGATAGAAAGTTCTCTCACTAAAACATGGTTTTGGCTCTTATTTTTTTCTCCTGCAAACAGGTGCAATTCCACTGATTTATCCAATTCTAAGTGTCACCAAGGAGACTCAGACCTCAATTTTAAGTGTTTCTTTTGGTCAATTGGGAAGCAATAGTTTTAACAGCTATATTACAAAAATCTCAAGTATTCACCAAAATAATATCAGCTTTCAGTAACACTGAGTCGGTAGCTAACTGAAGAAAGTATGGTGTATTCGGTTGGGATATTAATGGATCATGCAGTGGTGGTGTGCATGAAAGGCTGCAGAGGATGAATGTACAAATTCTGTATATTAGGGTATGCACCGAAGTATTCAGCATGATTGAATGGATTTCAGTAATTTCATAAAAGTGACTGCAATTAAAGAGCCTTCTGAACATTAATTAATTCTCATGCCATCTGTATGAGGTGGGTCTGTCCATCTTGTTTGTACACACAGATTTCATAGCAGCATAAAAGGGAAATAGCGCATGATATTTTATAACTAAAATAGTAACATTTAGTATGCAGAAATACAGAATTCTGCTCCTCCATGTTGTGAAACACATACCTTCCCATCCTGTGATGAGAAAGAGCACACTTCAACCTCCAATCCATTTACTCTAAAATTCACTGTATAAATATAATGGGCTGTAAAGTACAGGAGTACAAACCTGCTATTGTAATGCATTTTAAAATTAAAACTTCACAAGCAAAACCCACGGAAATCCAAAGGTAATGTCAACAGTTATACCTCTTTTGCATACAAGTAGTTCTTTTGGTACTTGAACACAGCGTGCATATAAAATGCAGTGTCCTATGCCATTGTCATGTGCTATTGTCACATCTGGTGCATGGATGAAAAGAAAATGGAAATTCCTCTTTCTGCTGTTGAATGATTTGTCACATTCCTTAGTGTTAGGGAGATATTTTATGAAAGACTTAAGAGTAACACACTGTAAAATGGAAAATGCTATAGGAACCATAATTCTGACTTCTCTACATTTCCAGTCTTGGTGATACAGTACCGAAAGAGAGCACATTTTTGTATTCAGTTCCCCTACAGGCATAAAGGAAAAAAGTAATGTAAACAGTCATGGTAGCTCTAGGAAGTTACCAGGAAAAAAGGTGTGGTCTGTGTTAATTTGATATAGTGGCTTAAGTCTTATTTCATTATTCAGAGATCCCCTTGCATGTCTCCTGTGCATACACTGATCAGAATCAACCTTGCTGAAGGAACAGTACAGCTCTAATACTGATAGCAGAATGGCTGGTGATAAGTGATATTTTTATTGCTTTAATTGAAGCCATCACCAAAAGGAACCAAACTCTAGATGAAACATGGAGACTACTGCCTGTGAGTCTCTAGGTAAGTGCTCCAATGCATGCAAATTTCTTTCATACAGTGAGATTAGCTAGTGTAATCAAAGGGAAAAATCAGTCCTTCAGCACATATGAAACATGCTGATACTTGTTCTGTAAAATCTGACAAACTTAACAAGACACACTGCAAAGGAATCAGCCGCTAAGCCATTTCCCTGGAGTTTACAGCTATTTCCACTCTTTATTCTACCAGAAAGCATCATCTGAGACCAGGCCAGCAAGCCTGGAAGTATAAAATGTTCTCCACCAGTGGGCTGGTGAGGGATGCAGACACGAACTGGGATAGTTCTGGGAAGCTGAGCACCGTTTGCATAAAGAGGAAGCACTCGCTCTTCAGAGCACAGGCATCTTTGTGATGGTGTTCACAATCTTCATCCTTCTTGGTTGCCTAATTACAGATCCACTTATGTACTCCATCATGTGTGTAGTGGAAAACATTTGCAGCATTTCACTACAGCTGGTAAGGACAAGAGTCCACATGTTCAAGCATTTTGGGGGATTTAAGTTTCTGGCTAATGTGCTGCACTAACTGCGCTATGAATGCTTGCACTCACCCGGAGAGCTGCTGGACATGCATGCTGAGCAAAGTTCCATCTGGCTAGCAAGAAAAAACAAAGGGAGGACAAACTGGTACAGTTTATTTCAGTCAATATGTGTGGTCAAATAGTCTTAAGGCTGCACTTTGACAAAAACTTTGAACTGCTGTAATGTGGCACCATCTGCGAACAGAGCCGTCCTTCCTGCCCCCTCACTACCCGCTTCAGTGCCTGAAGTCAGCTGCTCGTGGTGGCCAGGGGAAGAATTGCCTTGGGAAAATGACCCGTCTGTAAAATAATCCCTTTTTTGTTTACTGGGGTACTTTATAGGCAGATCACTTCACTCATCTGGTTCACTGGAAGGGTTCAGAAATGTTTGTACTGGCACACGGGTGGCAGAGGAGGTGGGGGAGGCAGGACTGCTGCTCCACACACACCCCACCAGTTTAACACACTTGAACTACAGCCCAGATAAAAACCCAAACTGCATCCTGGGCACAAGCGAGAACTTGTGAATGGGTTTCTGTACCTCTCCCTTCCCGCCCAGCTTGGCTCCCAGCTTTGCAAATCACTGGTGTGTGCCGCTGAAGTCGATGCATAGATTTCCCTGCTTTGCTGAGCTCTGGGACACCAGTGCACACCAGCCCTAACTGGGTCAGAGCCTTTCTTTGTACAAGCAGGCTGAGCTGCTGGGAAAACTCGCGGCAGTCATGCAGCAGCTTCTCACACACACTCCTCTCCCAGAGGGGTGGGAGGGACAGGGTGAGGAGGGGGAGCGGATGAAGGAGGGCTGAACTTCCACCACACTTGATCCACTGCCAGCATAAGCTTCCTTGTGGGGCTTATGGCCAGAAGTAAAGCCCCGGCTGCTCCCACGGCTGCCAAGGCTAAGCGCCCTGGGATCAGAGCGGTGCCACCAAGCTCTGCATCTGTCACTCGAATATCAGCTGTGCTCAGAGAGTGGGGGGAGGGCAAATAAGAGACAAGTGAGCTTATTAGTATTTATTATTTGTATTATTATAGCACCTCAGTGCCTAGTTGTGGACCAGAATTGCATCCTATTAGCACTGTGCAAACCCAGAGCCAATGTACTATAGTCCCTGCCCCAGAGGGCTTACAATCTTCGTTACTGAAAAGAGGGGTACAAAGAGATGGAGAGAATAAAAGGGAACAGTGACAAACCGTTGATCACTGTGAGGGACAGTGTTGGTTTTCTGGTAAGAACCATCAATTCTTAAATGCTTAGGTGGATTTAGACATTCTTCACACAGTCAATACTTTGTATTTCTTGTGAAAAAAAGCATCAAGAAATCACACAATTTAATGTCATATTCAGTGAAAACATTTTTCATTGCAAGAAACACATGTAAGGTTATTTTAAAAAATATTGTTTGATTTGCATGTTCTAAGCAGATATCTGAACACATTTACAAAGTCTACGCAGGCAGTGTATAAAGAAAGTAACAAATTTTTAACCAACTTGATTTTTTTCACTCATTCCTTTAAAAAATATAGCTTTTAATCCATTTTTTTAAGAAAAAAATAGAAGTGATTTAATCTCAACTACTTTTCTTGACACGCTTGTATTTTCCCTGTCCTCATGATTTAAAAAATAATCTAAATAGAAATTATCACATTGGTGGAATTAAAACCATTGTTAGATACAAGGATAGAGAACAACTGTGTATTTAGGAAATGTATGCAAATGATTTCACAGGTTTCTCTGATTGAAAAGTACAATTACAACCTTGTGTGAGAAGGGCTTGTGATTTACAACTTTTTGCGAGCATCTCTTATGCACATATTTTTAATAACTTGCCTCTAAGGGGCCAAATCCTGCTCTTCTGCTCGAAGTTTCTCTAAAATCAACAGCTCCTTTACACTGTGCTCTATTCTGCTGGCCTCCTACTGTGTCATAGTTAATACTGTGAATAACTTGGTGGAGTTCAATATTCCTGGTTTTAACTATAATTACTCTATGTCAGTAAGAGTTTGCAGGTTTTAATATCTTACAGAGGCCTGTAGGACAGTATGATTTATCCCAACACAGAGGGATGAAGGGAAACAAGAACTAGCTGAACAGTTTGCAAAATCATTAAACATTTTCCATGATCAGCTCTGTTATTTGCCATTTGGATAGCCCCCACTGAAATAATGTAAGTAATTTATACTCTTTACCTGAAAATAACTTCCAATATTAGCTTTCTTCTATGCATTCTCTAAATTGCTGTAAACATCCAGGATACCCTATATATATATACACACACACATATACACACACGGGTATGTCTGTGTATACATGCATATACATGTATAGGTGTATATATACACACATACAGACATACATGTATGTATACATATATATGGATATACAGCTATGACATAGTTAGGAAACAATAATGTCGTTTTTATTGCATTCTTAAGTATCATAGAACAAGGATATTATAGGCACACATCTTAACTACTCGTCCTTACTACAGTCCTAAAGCTCATTTACCTGAGATCTGCATCTGTAAAAATAAAGTTCCATTTTTAGCTGCATGTTACAAAAGACTAAACATCAGGCCCACAGATATGAAATTACAACTTAATTTTGAGACTAATTTGCTACAAGTAAAATATTCTATCTTATAAAAAAGATACTGTTGAAAGACATACATATTAAAAAGGAAACATGATTCTTAGAGGTTTAAAAATCTCCCTATGCCTTCCCACATTGTAATAAATTTATAAAAAATATTTGACACTGAAAATCTCCACAGAAAGCATCCTGCTGAAATCACATACCCTTTAAACCACTCATCTTGCAAAAGTTACATAGTTCAGGAGGGCAGACTCCATATTGTAAGTATTTAATTTTCATCATCCCGTCTGTAGTGAATAGTTTGTATTTCCTGAGCTATGAACATAGCCATCTCTCTAGTGCCCGCAGCGATCACTCGGCAGGACATAAGATCCAGAGGTCCCCCTGAGGACAAGAGGATTAATGAGAACTGTCTTACATGATGTAAAAAGGCAATGTATTCTTAACTATAAACCATGCTGTAATCAGATAGATTCAGAAACATGGAAACAACTTCATACGTAGCTCCTTTTGGGGTGGAAGGACAACCTAATTCAGCAACTGCTATCTGGATATCTCTGGCAAAAAATTATTTCAGAAAATTATAGATACAGTGCCAAAGGGTGCAACAGAAGTGGTGAATGTCTAGATTTGTTCAGTATCCAACAATAAATGCAATATTCCCTTCTTTTAGCAACAGAAAGGGATAGAACAGGAATTAGTTCAATCAGCATACCTTTCTTCCTAATCCACCATATCTTTCCACAGTATCCACATATGGTCACCAGTAAACCATTACTCTGAGATGTGTACCATCTAAATGAATAAAATAATAATACAGAGACTGTGCTGTCCTTTATCCCCTCTGAGTAGTTCCTAGTCATCTATGTTCAAACATGTACCTGAGAGGAGTCCTTTCTTGGGAGGCTATCTCTGCTGAAATGTTTGGCGTCTGAGCATATCTACCAATCTCCTGGGCTAGTTCTTTACTGTAAATCTGATGCTTTAAAGGAATTACTCAAAGTAATGGAAATACAGTTTGACTCAGAAGACCTTTGATGTGGTGAAACCCCAGGCTGGAATTACATCAGCATGTTACAAATAACCAGACAGAGTCTTGTGCAGAGTACAGATGTTTCTACAGAATATTGCTACAAATGAGGTTGAGCCACAAGAGGAGGACTGTACTGAGGTAACTCAAGTTGCCCCGACAAAGCCACACAGTCTCCCAAAAAGTCAAGGAAAACAAGGATATTTTACTCACCTGAAGTATCTATCACAGTGCCACCTGCCTCTCTAATAATAACCGTTGCCGCTGCCAAGTCCCAGCAGTGTAACCCAAACTGGTAATAGGCATCTGCAGCGCCGGACGCCAAATGGCACAGAGCCAGGGTTGAGCTCCCAATGACACGGACCCTACACCCCGCAAGAAGGGGACATGGTAATGTAAAGCAGAAAATGCCTTTGATTTCAACCTGTATGTCAAGATCGCAAAATGTGCAACATACTTGATTTTTTACTTTTTTTTTTTTAATGACTTTTGGTCACAGATGTGAGACATATATTGTAAAATATCTTACCCATGTGCTTGGGCCTTCAGCAATCTCTCAATGTTACCAAGGAACAATTTCAAAGTTGCAGGGTCACGTTTTGGACCAATTTCTGTCAAAATTAAGGCCTTCGAGATATCTGCAATGTAGGTATTTGCTTCCATTAATTCAACAGCTTCCAGGTAAATTCTGGAAATTTGTTCAAATTAAACACTGAAAAACAATTTTCATGTCCCTTTTTTTACCCCAAACAGGATAAGTGACAACTCTGCATAAAAATTCAAGCAAGACTAGATTTCTCATATCAAATGGTCTGATCTAAACACACTTAAAAAAAAAAAAATAACAGGAAGATTAAAAACAAGAATGCATCCTTACATTCCTTCTTTTTCCATATATTGTTTTATTTCATTGACTGATCAGATTCTGGCAAATTCACTAACATTAGCAGTCAACTAAAAATAATGCAGTGACCTAGCAACTATTAATGAAGTTAATCTAATCATATTTGTAAACGGGATGGTTCTTGAATAGGGAACTTGAATGTAATTTGTTAACAAATTATAAACATTTAGGAATTCATTAAGAGGAAAGAAAAGCTTCTGCCTAAACCACTAGTGATCCAGCAATAGCTCCCCTTCGTTCTGACATTTCAAAGACTGAAGACACCTTATGACTGAAAAAAAAACCCCTTCTTATCACAGACTAAACCAGTATCTTAATTAATAATATATGAATGTCATATTTGTACTGTGTTCAGCAAGGGCAGTTCTGACCTACAGCAGATGAGGATATCAGCCTTGTGTTCAGCCAAAGGAAAGACTCCCAGTGACTTGCAGGGTGTTGAAATAGTCCTCACATGAGATCTGAATATTGCTAGTATACAACAAGCGTATGCCAATGTAGGTGGAGATGGTTGATCAAATGCCAAGTGTCCCTGCTTCTGCTGTGCTAGCTGAACTTGGAGGCATTAAAGCTATGACAAAACTCAAAGGTTTAGCTGTGGATCACTTACTAACCAGGCTGTGCTCAAGTGTCAGGTGCCACCTTCTACCCTGGGTTAAAGGCTGGGCATCCATTCAGATGGGGAATGTCTACCTGGTTATTACAGCTAATTGCATAAGTTGAAAATGCTTAGCAGAAGTAGCAAGGAGGTTTTCAAAAGCAAATTAGGCTGGAGTGAGACATCATTTAATTAAACAGGCTACCAACAAACTGAGTGTTGTAGAGGAACATTTATGGCTTCAAACAATGAGGTGAATGGTTGGTGAGTAACAGGTATGTAATTAGGTTAAAAGTTACAGGGTATTACAAAGCTTAACTGTAGGAACGTAGACTTAGCAATTGCTTTTAAATTACTGCATTAAAATATAGAAACACCAATCCAGGCATTCTGCAGGGTATTTGTTGTTTAGCCACCACTGAAAACTCTGGATGGTGAAAGCAATCTGCCTCAGATCTTTTTGCATAACAGACCCAATTTATAACTACAGAACACTTAATGCACGCCTCATTGCTGAAATGCACCAAGCATTCACACCACACCAGTCATAGCTAGGTCATGACTAAGAGAGTTGTTCTTTTGAGTTATTAAATATATTTCTAATGCATAAATGGATCTCTTCAATTTTCACCAAGGCTACAGGTAGAAATTGGATGAAGAGACTAAGGCAAGGAAGATGGAGGTCTCTGTTTAGGAAACGGAGCTGGCTTATCACAAGACTTGATGGGGTTTCAGGAATTCAAGGTACAAGATAAATTTACTGACTATTCCTCACTCTTTGACAGAGGCCAAAAAAATAAGGAGGCTTGGTAGAAGAGATTTAAAGTGATACGGATAGATTTATGAGGAAAATAACAATTCTGTTGACCACAGAAGATTAAAAAAAAAAAATACAGTATTAGGACATGTAAGGCCTGACCTGAACCTAAGCATGAGAAGAAAGTATCACTCAAGATCAAACAGAAGATGGATCCTTCATTTAAGTGTAACCTTACTGCTTGGACTCCCATACCAGACTTCTACAAAATTCAGAACAATGTTTCCCTGGACTGCAGTTTCAAATTATTAAATCTGAACAATGAATGCATGGCATATGTCAATGTTATACAACAGTCACATTTCCTGGAAACAAAAGGCATGAAATAACATGTCAGCCTGGATCTCCAACACATCATGCATTGGTGAAGGCTACTTGAGTTCCAGTGGTAGGTACAGGGAAACACACTCTCCGTTCCAGGGCTGGTTTATTTCCCTGAAGCCACAGTCCTTACAGGAAAAGAGCAACTGGGATTTTATACACTTAAAACATCAATAGAAGTGAGACTAAAGAAGATCCATCTTCACTGGTGAAGTTGCCCACCACCAAATGATGTCTCTCAAACCAAAGGAAAACTTTAAAGCATTTGGAAGGACAGAAGGTCCACTTCCCTTGATACGTTCTAGATAGTCACGTAGACTGGATGTCCAGAGAAAGGAGGACAAAAGTGGCATGCACCAAAATTGTTCCTTGCTCAACTGGAAACCAGAACTCTTTGATAGCAAAAGCAAGCAAGGCCATTTCAAGAGTGGCTCAGCCAGCCCAACTGGCAGCACTCCTAGTTTTTCCTAATTGTCTCTGCCAGCATGGGATTTTGTGGAATATGAGATATTCCAGCACTGACAAAAACGTGATGTATAATCAAGGATCAAAATCTTAGAGGTCATTGACCTTACAGTTTGCTCCATCTCTCCAAACAGGGAGAGCCCAGCTCACTATGAATTTAGGAGAAGAGCCAAACTTCTCAAATTTCAGGCAAGTTTGATGCAGGGTCTGCTTGGGGCACTACAACAAATCTTTATGTTAAATTGCTTGAGTTTAGTGTATTTCAAGTTAATTAAATCTCTTTTGGGGGTGAAATTTTTACCATCTCCTGTGTACATTGATGTACATTTTTGGCATGTCTGCTTCTGTCTACAACTGAGTGTTAAGTTCTCCTCTGCATTTTGATTGACTAAAAGAAAACTTCTCTACATGCATCTGATTATTGTTATCCAGTATCATTAGGTAGAGAGACAGATCTATGACTTGGTTTATCAAGAAAAGAATTCCATTAAAGTGCTGACTAAGTGTTGCTAGCTATTTATATGTTGAAACATATCTCACACACAAAAACAAGCTCTTAAAGAACCCCTAATGAAGCATGCATCCTTTAGTTTACTGTTAGCATGTATGCCTACAGACATAGTACACTTTATGATGTACAAGTTTATTAGAAAATAAGTGAATAATGGCCGCTATCATACTCTGAATTTGATTCACCATTCCCATTGCATCTTGCTCATAAAAAGTTATGCCAGTGTACAGCTGGAATGAAACTGGTGAATCTACTCATTCTTCCTTATTTTAAACAATGGTTATGAAGCAAAATAATTTAGGTTTGATTAAGAAGTTCATATTCAGATGTATATTTTAAAAAGAAAATGAGGAAATTTGTGATTTTTTGCAGAAAAAACCAAACACATAACAATAAAATTATCATGCAAGTGAAATACTTCCCATCAGGATAATGATGTTCATTATCCTAATGATGATTTGCAACAACTCTGAAACAAAATTAACATATTCCTTTTAGAGTTCTAACAAAATCTAGACCAACCTGTCTCTTTTGATACCTGAAGCCTTTTGTCATTACAAAATGCCCCTTGACCTCTTCTACCAGTGTATAATCGTTCTTCAGTGCAGTGGTAAATTACACCAAATTCAAGCTTTAAGATTTTGAAAAGGAAAGAAATGAATGCAACTCAAATTACTCATCATAAATATAAACAACTACTAATGGCAGAACGATCAGCAATATTTTAATTGATACATGTAATCAAAGATCATATTGATGCTAATAAACTGGAATAATTTCACTATTACTGTGATATTGAGATATAGGTCATATAAAATTCAGTTTATAAAGAGAAGTTAACGCAATCTGTTCATGATCTTCTAAACTCTTATTTGCAGCTTGTTTGTATTCACATTAGAATGGATTAAATGCTAAGCTGATTTCAAATCCAATTGTATGTTTTTTATTGAAAGTACACAAGTCCTCTAAGGCCAGATTCTGAATGCTTTACTTCCACTGGTGAGCAGTTACGCGTAGTAGTCCCATTGACTTTGGCCAGATCCTAAAGTTTGTAACCCCAAATACATAAAGTACTATCAGCAATATTTTATTTAGGGGTGGGCAGGTACACATAAATTAAGTGACTTGCCCAAGGTCACAGAAAAAGTGTCAAGAAAACACCTCAGATGTTCTAGACTCCAAATCTTTTCCTGCTGCCCTCCTCCGTTCACTGTGAATAATCATTGTTGTTCCTCAGAGACAATTCAAAGGGAATAGATTGTCCTCACTCCCTACCCCGAGGTACCATCTAAACCAAGGGTTTTTTTGAGAAACACACTATTAATAGACTCTTTTCTGCAGGAATTCCTTTAGTACTGTTCAAGGCTTAAATTCAGGCCAGTTCCCCTGTGTGTACTTTGGCTCCTTTTCAGCTTACTGCTCTTTTCTGCTTTTCCCATTTATTTACTGAGGGAGATGTAACATCATTCTTTATTTTTGTTTCAGCTTTGTTTAGTTTACATAACCCAAAATATGCAGCATCAAAATGATGATGGTGTTCTAGAAAACATAAATATTAGAGAAAGCTGTCTGGCAATAATATGTAGTATTCAAAAGGACCTGTGGGAATTAATGAACTTCAGAAAAGCATGGAAGTGTTTCTCTGTAGTTTCTGCGTTTGAAAAGTCTAACTAGAGAAGTACACAAACATTATCCTGTTTAAAACAGTAAAAGCCACTAGCACATCTGAAAACTACGTTGTTATTGCACAGAATTCTTGTTGGCTTCACTTACAGCTATACATATATTTAAGATCATGGAATCAGGTTGAAAGAGGTACATTCCTTGGCAATTTAAAGAGCTATTTCTTTTGTATATATCGAACTGTAAACTGGCAACATCTGGAGAAAAGTCACCAGCATGAACAAGTATAGCGAGGAAACTCAAAACCTGCCCATATGAAGGCTAGGTACCTTTTTTCTCCCCGTAATCAAGCTCTCATGTGGGAAATATAATTATTTTACTATGTTAAGAAAACAACAAAGGCAGATTAAATGAACTAGACCCATAATTTTGCACTCTTCATAGAAATCAGTTCTGAATTGCCTCATAGCAGCAGTTAGCTTTCACAGATACCGCTAGCAGGAGAGAAGCAAGAATAATAACATTAGAACACTGGGAGATGTGTTTAAATTATGAATAGGCAGCACTATATTTAACTCATTATGGTTCTGTCTTACAAAACCTTGCTCACACCAGTACTCTTTTTTTCCCCATATAAATCTTGTAATATTTATAATAATTTTTAAGAATTGTCTTGTAATTGCCAGTTTGCATAAGTAAGTTTTGTAGGACTACGATTTTAAGACTAGTAGAGTATGATAAAATGCGTTTAAAAAGTGTAGAAAAACCTGAGTAGGCTGATTTTTTCTAAATTTTATTTCAAGTTCCCACATGGTTTCAAGGCTTCTACCCAGATCTCAGGTACCTATCTTAAAGAAGATACTTCATACCTCTTTGTTAACAGCAAATCCAATGCTCACTGCCACTGTTGGAAATCTGTGAAAAATAAGAAATGAAGTATTATTGATGAAAAATCTCTCAACTTACTCCTTATTCAACTCCCTTAGGCAACAAAACCCCACACAGAGCTCTGTGATTTTACTTGTGTCAAAATGCTCTTGACATTATACTATTCCTCCTTTCTCAGCCTCTTTAATTTTGTCAGTTCCTTTAAAAACGCAATTTAATATTGGAGAAGGCAAGAAATAAACACATGAAGACACCAGGACTTTTATACTAAATGTGCTATATATTTTAGTGATAATTTTGCTTTAGTGTAATTGAATTATCCAGTATAAAATCATTATATGTTGTTATAACAAATCATCATGTTTAAGAGCACATTTTGTTCAAGCTCAAGCATCTGAGACACCAGTTAAGTGGCACGGAGATACCTTGCTGCTGACATCAACATAAGGAGAAACCAGTTCCTCCACCTTCTCTTTTGTCAAAGTGATGATCGTGTATTTAAATTGGTCCTTTTGCCTAAAGTATAACTACCGCATTTTAAACAATGAAATAAATTAATTTCTTAAAAACATGTTTTAAAAAGAGCTGTAAAGTAATGGTGCAGAAAATATTGCTAGAAAGAGAAAATTTCACTTCATTGCATGAAACACCAACACGACACCCCCTGCCTCCCCTTGAATTCTATGTAAGTGCACCAAAAGTCAAGGAAATGTGAAATGTGGTGGTTTATTTCAATTATAACTGCAGTTATGTTAAGTCACTAACTGTAAGACAGAACGTATTTAAGGTTTTTATGTAGAAGTATTACGAATAGTCACTAGTTTACAACTCCTAGCACTGAAATGATTTAAGCTTTTGCATTTTTGCAGCAACGATTCCTAGATTTCTTTTTGCAGAGAGGTATCACACAAATTTAAAACCAATACCTATGTACAGCTTAGTTTTCAGTTCTGCTCTACATATATGCAATGTTTGTGCTTCCTAGGAAATTTAAGCATTCGTATTTGAAAGGGAGAAAACACCACTACTAAAAGGAATGTCTAACAACCACATAAGGCGTTATGCCAACTGTCATCATAGTACAGCCTTGTTCCTCCAGTTCAGCTCAAGTCTCTGCACGTTAATGTGTGGTTATATATAAACGAGCTGTGAGTCAAGAGCTTTGGGTCATTAAGCAATCAGCAGAAACTTTAGTTTACCTTTAGATAACAGTATAGAGCTCTCTCCAGCACAAACACATGCTCCCTCGGATACACTACACCAGGTACAGAAAGATAAAGGGATGACTCCTACTTATGAGTCAAAGGAACAAACCTACCACAGTAAAACACCTTTAAGTGGAAGGGAGGATTTGTGAGAAGCTACATTTTGCTTTTTTATGTATTTGCTGGTTCACTGTTCACTTACCTGTGCACAAAGTTGCACGTTCCATCAACAGGGTCAATAATCCAGGTCGGACTGTCAGTAAGGACACATTTTGAACCAGCAGCAGTTGATTCTTCTGCAATAAACCTGCATTTGGTGTGGAACAAAACAAGTGTCCCATAAAATTGGCTTAGATATGTGACTTGGAAAGTCAAACTCCATCTTTCTGTTTTTTAAGAGCTACTTCGCATATACATCACGTTCCATCAACAGGGTCAATAATCCAGGTCGGACTGTCAGTAAGGACACATTTTGAACCAGCAGCAGTTGATTCTTCTGCAATAAACCTGCATTTGGTGTGGAACAAAACAAGTGTCCCATAAAATTGGCTTAGATATGTGACTTGGAAAGTCAAACTCCATCTTTCTGTTTTTTAAGAGCTACTTAGCATATACATTTTTTTTTTTTAATAAATGTGTATGCATGTATAAACACACATGTTGCTTTTTTTCATTTGGGAATAGGGAACTTTCACAGAAACTTTGAAGGAGAGTTCTCAAATTTACAGCATACTATTTTACACAGAAAAAAAGAACCCCATTTAGGTTCACTTTCCCAATACGCCATTAAGAAAGTCATGAAAATGAATGCAGAAATGGATCTGAACTGGCATCCCTGGAACAATATAAGTTTTTTTTTTTAATGCAGAATGTAATTTAATGGGTTAGGCCTGTCTCTTGCAGTAAGTAATATAAACTGCAAACTGTAGCT